TATATATATATATATATATATATATATATATATATATATATATACATATATATATGTGTATATAATTACATATACACACACATATATATATATATATATATATGTATATAATTATAATTAAAGTCTACAATAGCATATATATGAAAAGATTTAAAAGTAGTTTTAAACAAGACGTTTTTATGATGTCTTAAAACAATGTCCTTAAGACGTCTTTTAGACATCTTAAAATAATGTCTCAAAGACATCTTAAAACAATGTTTATATGACGTCTTTAATCGACGCATAAGATGTCTTAAAGACATCATAAAGATGTCTTTTTGATCATTTTTAAGACGTCAGAAAAATTTTAAGACGTCTTTAAGATGTCATAATGTTGTGTGGGTTGCTTGTTGGACATTATCGTGTTCGATACTTTTTCTTTTCCTTTTTTGTGATTATCAATCACCGTACCATCAGCCTTCCCCGAGGATATTTTTAGCTATTAGGTATTACTACCTCGTCTTCCTAATATCTAGTATTATCTCTTCCTCAATTTTTTCTTTTTTCTTGCTCTATTTTTCTAAACATAAATTTCCTTTTCTAAGATATATCCAAAAAATCACAGACTATATCCGAACGAGTTCAAATATGTTTTTACATAATAGTAGTTAAGTCGAAATTTAATTTTGTGTTCGATACTATTTTGTCAAATTATGTTAACTTATAAGCTATATAATATTCTAAATCTTAAGGTTCTAAATCTTAACATTTCAAAATTCACTAAACGACGGGAATATTTGAATATTTGAATTTAAAGCGGAGTTATGATTGATTAAAGGTAAAGCGTTTAATTAATTTGCGCACCTAATAGTCTGAACTTAAATCTATATTATTATTAAGTTGTTACTAAAAGTTATTACTGAAAAATCGATTCTTAGAACGTTTCGAGATCCTTGCTTTGGATCCTCTTCAGTTTATCAAAAGAAATAATTATTATATCGTTAAATAAGTCTGAACAAAACATATGAACAAACTGAACATAACATATGAAGGTAAATGTTAAACACGAAGCTAAATAATAAGAAGAAAAGTTCATGGCAAGCTTATTCTTATAAATCTATGCTTGTCGCCGAGTAATATCACTCTTGTCACTTACTTCTTCGATGGCAAGAGTAGATTTCTTATAATGAGGTGACTATGTGATGTATACTAGGCTTTAAAATAGTTTAAACACTTTTCTTCGATGTAGTTTGAAACGTAATCAATGGTTTAATGAGAGAACATATCTTCTATAAATTAATAAAAAACAAGTTCTCTCATTCGATTATCTATTACGATTCAAAAAGTATTGGGAAAGATGAATGGTGTTCAAACCATTTTAAAACCCAGTATATATTTGTTTACAAAATAATTTAGAAACAATGATATAAGGTCATCAAAATATTGTGATTGAGAATTACTATTAACTGCTCAGTAAATGGCTGTGATAGAAGCTGAAGCAATAGACGAGACATTTGACGTCACAGCTGCAGCAAATAACTCAAGTAAAGTAAGTATATTCATTGTATTCTTATCTACCAAATAATACAATAAAAGACCAATACATTGTGCACTTTGGCTTCTATTATAATTACTGCACAAACTTTTCGGCAAAAAAAGATCATATATGAATTTTGTCTCTACATAGTTATACAGGATGCGATAAAAGTATCGGACCGGTAAAATATCTCGAAAAATATAAGTTTTACAGAAAATTGTTTTAGATAAAAGTTATAGGGCTTAGGAAGATCTATTTACTGATTTTAACAGTTTGACCTTGGATGTCGCCGCCAAGGTCAGATCGAGGTCAACTTTGTTTTTTTAAATATAAATATATATATTTTTTATTACAGAATTTCATTTTACATAAAGAAGCAAACAACTTTTGTTAGAAAACATTTTTTATACTTTTATTTTCTAAGATATTTACGGAAATATCTACAAAATTATTGGTTTAAATAATTTTTTACTCAAATTATATCAACTTTACCGAAAAATAGCAAGAAATAAAAATTATCCATTTTCTTCTCATAGAACTCTGGGAATTTTTTCAGAATTTTTTAAAAACTTTTTAGCATTTCAAGAAAATGCAATAAAATGCAGTATTAAAAAGTTAATTAAAAAGTTCTGAAAAAATTCTCAAAACTCTATGAAAAGAAAATGAACAATTTTTATCTCTCGCTATTTTTCGGTAATGTTGATAGAATTCGAGTAAAAATTATTTAAACCAATAATTTTGTAGATATTTCCATAAGTATTTTAGAAAATGGAGTTCGTATAAAAAAATTTTTTTAAACAAAAGTTGTTTGTTTCTTTACGTAGAATAAAATTCCGTAATAAAAAAATATATGTTTATATTTAAAAAAGCAAAGTTGACCTTAACCTGATCTTGGCGGCGACATTCAAGGTCAAACTGTTAAAATCAGTAAATAGATCTTCCTAAGCCTTATAACTTTTATCTAAAATAATTTTCTGTAAAACTTACATTTTTTGAAATATTTTACCGGTCCGATACTTTTGCCGCATCCTGTACAATTATGTATAAACATATATGTTTATAACAAAAAATACTATTATACGAATACAATCGAATTAAATATCTATGTTTCTGGCAACAACATGATGTCAATGTTTAATTGAATGAAACTATTTCTTCCCTTTTTTATTTAACAATAATTTTTTCTGTGTGGGCATGTGTAATTGAATATATAACTATATATGAACAAAATTTATATGTAATTTGTATATAATCATATATGATATTTTATATAATTATATAATTACATATAATCACATTTTTCCCGAGCTGTTAATAATGATTCTCGATTTAGAACTGACAATTTAGAATGCTCTTTATTTCCTTGTGTCTAAATTATTTTTTTCAAACAAATATACATTTGGTTTCAATACAGTTTGAACACTTTTTTCGATGCAGTTTGTAATATATATATGCATATTTTTATTTAATTCTCAGAAATTAATTTTGCTGATTAGATCATTAGCTGCGTTTCAAATTATATTAAAATAAAGAAAAATGTATAAAACCATTTCAAAATCGAGTAATATATAGCCGATATCATACAATATACTGTAAGTTCCTAAACTGGGAATTACACGATTTTCAACATAACACACATAACGATTTTTACATTCAAAACACATGAGATCACTTTAATAATTCTAGTTGTAATGACTTCAATCTTATGCGTATATGCGATAGATTGATACATGGCGTTGCTTATACATAGCTACTAATAAACTCATGATGAAATTTTACCAATAATCTCATGATGATTTATTCTTGTTATCATTTGACTTCATGTTTGAAATTATCTTTTATGTTTCCACTCTTTTCTTTACTACTACTTGGCGTAATGATTATTATATCTTTTGATAAGCTGCCAAAGGCCAAAAACATGAGGATTATATAAAACGTTCTAAATATATTAAATTGTAAATATTTTATGATTCTACTATAACAGAATTTTCTTCGCATGACCAACCGCACCTTTACTAATTTTTTAATTTATCTTTTTATTTATCTTGTAGAGCCATACAAAAAATACTGTATTGTTATTATTCGTATATCACTTTCACAAGTCATTTTATCTTTATCTTAACGGTTGTCATATAAAGTCTTCGTTAATGAGAGATTAAAAAATTGTACTTCAGTAATTTAATAATCATTCGTAAAATTGTTTTATTATCATGAAGACGTAAATGAAACAATTCTTCACGATAATATTGCTTTCGCATTTTGTCGATGTTTATTCAGACTTATCTTTTAAAAGCTTAATTATTTAATCAAGTTGTATCCCAGTTGCCCGGAAATTAATTATAATTTATATTAATTATTACTGTTTATTATCAACTGATCTGCTTAATCGTCACGATTTACGTCAGCGTCGAGCCAGCGAAAAGAATATATGATTATGGTCGCGCTCGGGAAAACAGCTGAAAAGTTAGCTGATTATTTCAATCATCGGACATATGATAATATGATTAAAGGGAATTTATCTGAAGAAAAGCCCGTTTTTGTTTATCGACGATATCGAATTGATTTGTTAATGATTATCCGAATTGTAAGCAAGAATTAAAGTTCTGACAGAAATTGGTATAATAAAATATTTGCGTTGCGCGACATACTCCTACACAGCATAAATGTCTAAAAGACATTTAAAATATCTAAAAGACATCTGAGAGATATCCCACTTATTTCATATGTCTTTATACTGTTTGGAGAAGCGTCAAGTAAACAGTGTTCAATCTGTCCATCTGTGCAGACTGTTGATCTGTCGCAAGAGAAATATTTCTATCGTCATATGTGTGAGATCGAAAGTCGCGTACACCGAAAACTATTATTTTTTCTTCTCGTCCTTTCTCTTTCTCGAATAATTCCTGTACCTTGAATCTCAGACTCCGAATTTTTTCTCTTTGATACATCCGTGCTATCCAAAATAGACTGCATTTTCTCCGGCTTTCTTTCACGGCTACTTGTTCCCGCGACAATAACTTGGATACTGATCCACCTTCGTGATCATGATGTCGAGTTTGTATTATCTACTCATCTTATCTACCAAATCCAGGTGACGTACAAGCTAAAGACGCAAGTTTATTGTAAACGAGGATTTACTGCACGAGATTATTTATATCTTGTGTGCGTAGAAAGGATGTCGATGATTGTACTTTCTACGTCGCAAATTCTTATTATCTGCAACATAATAATTAATTTAGCGAAAATCCGGATAAGAGTAATTTTTGTTTTGCTTCACGTCGTAATAACAATTGAACTTGTTGAATCATGATATGTAATAATAAAAATATTTATTGATAAGAAAAATGTAGAGAAAAGAGTACTTTAATGTACATAAAATGAAGTAAAGTGTACGCCACACAAATAGGAGTGTATAAATAAAATGAAAAATTTTAGATTATAGGTAAAAAGAAAAAAAAGGCAACGAAAGAGTTTATAGAATTATGTACAGAATTTCTAAATGTAGATGGAGTGCCACATGAAAGAAATGGATTGAATTGGAGAATAAATTCCCATTATTATAATCTGCAACGTAGAAAATACAATCATCGACATCTTTTCCCAAATTATTATAATAAATTCCTATTATGCACGAACGTTTAAAACGTAAAGGAGAATGGATAAAATAAACAACTTTTGGTCTGAGCCATAAAAGTTTCCTTGTGCATGTTTTCTTGTATTTCTTAATATGTTAAATTATTTGCAATAAATATTTTTATTATTACATATCATGATTCAACAAGTTCAATTGTTATATAAGTTCAATTGTTGTTACGACGTAAAGCAAAGCAAAAATTACTCTTATCCGGATTTTCGCTAAATTAATTATTATGTTGCAGATAATAAGAATTTGTGACGTAGAAAGTACAATCATCGACATTCCTTCCCAAATTATTATAATAAATTCCCATTATGCACGAACGTTTAAAGCGTAAAGGAGAATGGATAAAATATACAACTTTTAGCCTGAGCAATGAAAACTTTCTTGTGCATGTTTTCTTATATTTCTTAATATGTTAAATTATTTGTAACGATAATTTCAAGCTAAATTAGTTAAGATGAGAAAGTATTGAAAATTTAATTTCAAAAGTAACATAATGTCATCAAAATCTGCGTAAAAACAAGAATAATACATCTTTTTACCTTTTTCCTCTTCCTATCACCTCCTACTCCAAACTTTTACGGTTATTTAATATTACTCATCCTGACATTAACTAATCTAATTCAGTGCAATCTAACATCACCAAACCTAAAGTAGATTTATCCATCTTTTTGTGGAGTGAAATCACAGAGATCTATAATATATAGACTGCTAGCCTCGACTCCCTAGACATCCTGGTATATAATATACTCTCGCAAATATTCTATTGAAAAATACAAGACAATTTTATACTCTCTACAAAAATAATGATATGAAGATTTTCGCCAAGTACAACCCAGATAGCACAAAAATGAACAGAAGTTCCTAGAGAATTCATTTTAAAGAATAGATATAGAACTAGAAAAATGAATACCCGAAGAATTCTTGAAGAATTAACCACAGTAAGTTCGTCTTGAAATATTTCTTAGGACTTCATTATAGCGAATACTTCACAACTTAATTCCTAGAACACTTTGAGAATTCGTGAGAAATTAGGACTAAAGCAGAGAATGAGATGTAAGCGTCGTAGACGTAAAGTAAGACAAAAAAACGTAAACGTAAGGCTAATAGTCTCTCATGACTTATGTTTACCAATTAAATAATAAGAAAAAGGACTAATTCGAGTTCAAGCACAGGATTAATAGTGCTATGTACCATATGGGTAAAACCTTCCTTGTGTTAGGAAATAGAGCAATATTTATTAAACATGAATACTCAATATAAATAATCAAACGTTTCGGCTCAATCATGAACCCTCTTCAGTGATATAAAAAAACTCAAGGTTTACAAAACGAACGCATTACAAGTAAAAGAATTAATTCAAGACCTTAATAAAATGGCATGAATGTTATTCGCAGTATTATAGCTGACAAAACCGTTACCCGACTAATATTAAGAAGTTCAAATTAATACTAGGAAGTAGCCATAACTATAAAAAAACCATAAAATAAAATAAAAATAGGTAAGATTAAAATATAATAAATAATTAAAACAATAAAAATTACCTTTGTTGAGCTCAGCTAAAAGTGAAACGATCCTGTCAACGATAACATCGCCACGTCTAAGTAAAAGAGATAATAACAGATTTATATACACGAGCATTAACATTGCGGCGACGACTCTTTGAAGAGAAGGAAACAAACAAAGTTTTACTTTCATAATAAACCGCAGTAGCTGTTGCCTAAATATTCTGTGTCCTTTTGAGAGTTAAGTCCATGCTTTTGAAATTTAATGTCAATCATTTCTGATATCAGGCGTTTCAAGTAATAACGTTCCTCATGCAAAACTTTGGCTTGATCCCAATTGAAATCATGGTTTTCCCTCAAACGGTGTTCTTGTATGACCGTTAACTCAAGACTCCTTGGTATTCTCTTATGCTCAGCAATGCACGTAGAGAGTCTTCTACTGGTTTGACCAACATACAACGCCTCACAACTACTGCATTGCAATTTATACACAATGTTATTATGGAAACCAGGAGGCAACTTGTTTTTATGCACACAAATCATTCCTGATAATTTATTATTGCAAGGATAAGCAATATTTGTCAAATTATTTTTAAAAAACTTTGCCAGTCTGTTCGAAACCACACCAAAAAACGGTATGGTAAAATATTTTTTATCATCATAACCAGATGCTGTCAAATTTGTTTTAACTATCTCTGAACCTCGTCCGCAATTCACAATAAGAAACTTCAGTCTACGTTTTTAAAAATAAACGTTTTTAAAAATAACGTTTTTTAAAAATAACGTTTTTAATAATTTTAAAAATTAGGTCCAAAGGAAAATTATTATTAATTAGCGTCAAAATGATAAAGTCTAAATCATTCTTATGAAAAGTCGGATGACTAAGATAAAACATCCTATCCACCAAGCCAATAATTGTTCCGATCTTGTGTTGAATAGGATGAAAAGACAAATAATTTAGGTACCGATCAGAAAACGTTGGTTTATGATACCAGTCGAAAATAATTGTGTTATTACGTATTAAAAGAGTAGTGTCTAAAAAGTTAATACTGTCATCTCCTATTTCAATTGTGAATTGCAGCCGAGGATGAAACGAATTAAATATACGCAATATGTTATTTAAAAACTCCTTAGGAGCTGCTAAAAGAATATCGTCAACATATCTCAAATAAAAAAGCAAGTGACCGGAATCATGTTAATAGCTCTTTTTTCCAAATCTTGAAAAACTAGGTTCACAATAATAGGGGACAATGGGGAGCCAATACAACTTATTATGCAAATAAAATTTTGTTTGTTTCCTTCTCTTCCAAGAGTCGTCGCCGCAAT